ATAATGCAACTGTTTCTATATTTGGTCATATTATGAAACAGAGTCATTCAAAACAATGGAAAAGTTATACACATACACATAAAGCATACATTATGAAACATAATATCGTAAACATTTTATTTTTACATTGTAAAATATTATCAAGTGCAACACATGTAATATAACTTCATAGGAAAAGCCTATAAATATTTTCAAATATTCGTATAAATTAATTTAGGAAAATCATTAATTCATTTCATGTTATTTAAAAAAAAAACAGTATTTACTTCTACTTATCATAAAGATAAAAAATGAAAATAGCAACTATATTATAAAAAAGAATTAATATTTTTTTGAGTTTAACAATACGAAAAAAATGACCGAATAATTATCATTACAAGAAAATATGTTAATAACAATATTCTTTAATTTTTACATTTAAACAATATATATATAACAAATTATATATTTGATAGAGATCAATAAAACTTGAAGTATATATAATGTTGTTAGATATAATGCCATATTATATATATTAAAACATAATGATCTTTAGAAGATTCTTAAGAAATAGGAAGTATTAGATATATCTCTGTGAAACTTGTGATGCTGTTTTCCAACAGAAACCATGATCTTCGTTGCTAAAGATTATGGAATCTATTTACATAATCAGCGACTGTTGATAAATAATACAATAATTTAAATGTTTTGCGAGGAAATAACCTCGTAGCTTTATAATGCTGTTCCGTCTAAAGTTTAATAGAAAACCACTGGAAGGTTGATAAATGATGAGAATGAAAAATGGCTTCCAGTACAACAGTCGGACATTCCCATTAGGTACACCTTCAGACATAAAGAAAAATACAAATTTTTTAAATAGTAAACTTTTTACTACCACAATTGAGAAAATATTTTCAATAAATTAGACTGGCAATACAAAGAACATATACACATTGAAATCAGTAGCATAGTTTTCGAGTAAATAATATCTTATATAATTTACAGCTCATTCATGATACATAGGATGTCTCAATTAAGTTAAATATCTGAATTATTTCTGCTGCTATTGAAATTAAGAAAAAATAATTAATAAAAGTTTATATAGTTTGCATATTAATATCTGTTTTTTTATAATGTGACATTTAGATGAATTGAATGATCTTAAGTAAAAAAAAAATTCACAAGAATTGGTTAATATAAAAAAAAAACGACAATGATCTTGAAATGGCATTCAAAATGATTTTGGAAGGATATTTTTTGTTATTACCAGATGCACGTCCTAGACTCATAAACTCTTCTTAATCATTTTTTCTTACTTTCTATAGTGGTAGAAATAATTTTGATATTCAACTTAATTGAGACACACTATATAAATACTTGTGATCAAATTAACATGCATAAGTATATTATGATAGTTTCTTTTTTATATTATCTCTTCACTGATATAATATCATTAGAATCTTTTTTGCAACAATTATCTTTGATGGTAGAATCTATGTTGAATTTCATATTTCGATAATGAAAATCTTGAAAAATTAATATTTGAGATATCAAGTAAATTTGATTATTATTAGATTCACAATCATCATATTAATATGTTATTGCACATGCATGTATTACATACATTCCAAATCTTTGTATGTTGAAGTGAAATGAGGGACTTCTATATTGCTTAATATCAAATGCAGCTAATACTGCAATGATTATTACAGATAAAGTAACTACTCTAAAAAAATACACAATACATAAACAGATTATGAAGATAGAACAGTCATTATGTAATTTAAAAAAAGGGAAAAACTATCTTGATGGACTGATGTAAATAAATCGAATGAGTTGTAAATACATAAAATACGACATGTAATGAGATGGGAACAAGACATTGAAAAGAAGCAGTGGTTATACATACGATTGTGTGATAGAATATGGTTCAAAACTATTTTTATGTATGATGTGAAAACATTCTGTCAATGTATGAATGTTTGTTATAATCTTAGCCTTTCACTTAATTTTCACAACACATTTTTTAAGTAATTCTATTTTAAAAACTCTTTAGTCAATTAATATTTATTATTGAAGGTATAGCTACTGTTGAAATATGAAAGGCTAAAATTATAAGTATGAATGAACATTTGTTAAAGTCGTTGGGTATATTTTAAGAAAATAATGTAATAATCATTATTACACATTATATATATACATGTTATATATAGTTAGTTTTGTACATAAGTTATAACAGTTAAAGTCCTATCAATATTAAAGTCTAAAAACAAAAAAATCAGTTTCATACTTTGAATTCTACTTATATATGTGCATGTATTTATAGAATCATGTTAAGAAAAATTTATTTTTTAAAAAACGAAAAAATTTTCCTTTTGTTTATAAAATTATTGCTATATCACGTGTACGTTGTAAAGTTTGCATCAATACTTAAATAGTAAAACATATTAAACGAAAAATGATTTTTATGATGTAATAAAATATTTCATCATGAAAAATATAGTAGCAGGTATTAAAACAAATTATTTGTATAATTAAAACATTTTTTTATTGCTATAGAGCCATAATTTTAGTAGCTTTATATCATGGTTATATTATATATACTCTTAAAAAGTATAAAATATTTCAAGATTATTTTTTCCTAAAAGCCAATGAAATTCACATTGGCAATAAGTTTATACAATTCGCTGTATATTATCCATGTTAGTTTTATCACAACACCTTAATGCAGTTTTCACAATGATCACTAAATAGTATCATTAATTCTTATCTATAAAATTGTTGCTGATGTTGTGACCACTGAGGTTGTGGTGGTGGTGGTTGTTGTGGTGGTGGTGGACCATATTGTGGATCTTGTATATATCCTGTAGGGGATGGCCTTATTGAAGTTGGAGCGGAAGATACATATTGCTGCTGAGATGGAGGTTGTGGCACATAAGATACTTGTGTTGGATGTTGAGCTTGTGGATAATATTGCTGTGTCTGTGAAACAGGTGGTGGAACATTGTATGTTCCATAATTCACTTGTGGAGGTGGAGGAGGATAATAATGATGACCTTGTTGCGAATGAATTTCATGTGTCGTCATAGTAGTATCTTGAATAGGTACAGTTATGAGATTAGTTCGCATAGGTCCATTACTTGGAGGAGGTGGTGCAGAATTTTGTGGATAATTTTGCATAGATATGATTGTTTGAGGTCTATGTTGCTGCCTATGTTCCACAGATTGTTGGTTCACCATTGAGTTCACTCTTGGATCATTTCCCATAATGGGTTGCACCATGTGAGATTGCACTGACTTTATTCGTGTATTCTGCATTGAAACAGAAGACACTTTAGACAATTGTGATTCGATATCTGATTTAGAATGCACGTATTGGGGAGGTTCAACTTGCATTCCCTGAACCGGTTGTGGAGGAGCAGATATATGTCGATGATTAATATGTGCCTAACAAAAATAGTAAAATGATCAAAATTATTCTTTTTCTTGATCATTAAATTAAATTATATAAAAATATAAAGTACCTGCAAATCTCGTTGACTAAGATATGTTCTTCTACAACCAGCATTTCCATACCTTGTTCCCCCATGAGTACACATGAATACAGTACCCAAACCTGTTTGTTCTACTCTAGAAACTTTTTCCATACAACGTGGGCAAACTTTATCTTCTCGTTTGGCACAAGATAAACAAAATACATGTTTACAAGGTATCTATAATAATATAATAAATACAGAATATTCTTTACCTTCTATTATATATATATATATATATATATATATATATAATAGAAGGTAAAGAATATATATATTATATATATATATATATATATATATATATATATATATAGAATATATACATATATATATATGTATATATATTGTATATTATGTATATATATGCATCTTTCATAAATTATGTTCATAATATTGTCATATCTCACCATACGTCCATAAATAAGAATAGGTTTCAGACACTTGTCGCAACAATGTATCATAGGATTAAGAACTTTTTCACCAATGAGATTAACACGATGGTCCCATCTTAAACGTAACATTGGTTCAGGAGGTCCTCTATTAATGGTTGTAAAAGTTGGTGCTTCCAGTTGTGATATATCCGCTTCCAAATCGAATTGTTGCTCCAAAGGAGCTTGCTGCAATGGTGGCGGTTCATGTTCTTCTGGTTCACCAGTTGTAACTTCTGCTGGAGTTTCTTCTGTTTGTTGGGGTGTATCTTCTTCATCGCTTTCAATTACCTATACATACATACTTTTTTATAAAATCTTAATATAAAAATAATTTCTTAAAACTTGAATTTACTTATTTACTTTAACTTGTTTCTTTGTTCTTCCTCTAGTCCTGCCACGAGCACGACCACGGGCTCTACCTCGAGCTCTGCCTCTCATTCTTTTACCGCCATCTTCCTCCATCACTGAAATTAATATTAAGTGTCAAGAAATTAATACAAAATAACACGTATAATACTCCTAGAACTAAATAGATAGATCATCAAATGATTTATCGTCGGTTCTACAATAATACTTCAAGATAAAGGTTATGTGACGAAATGTTAAATATACAATATAAATTGTAAAGAATAAATAAGACGGCAATGCAAACAATTACAATTACTAGGATCAAACAGATATATTTATAAACAGATAATGCTTACAATAGAAACGTATTTTCTTCTACAAAATATTTATATTCAGTACGTTATTTTTTTCATTACATTCCGTCATCTCATATATAATACACTGCTACGTTCTTCAATGAGTTGATCCATGTGACGTACTCTTACCGTTTCCATGGAAACGATACTATATTTGTGTGTGAAAGCAGGTATGTATATATTCTACTAGTATCTTATGACTACTAGCATTTTTTTATGTTGTGTTTTACAATTAATTTGTTCCTACTAATTAATTATCTTAAAAAAAATTTCTTTATAAATATATCATTATTAATTGTTATATTATTACTCATAAATAAAGATGTAAATATAACAAATAAATATGATGATAATACATATTATTTCATGGACAATCAATGCCATACTTGTTCTTTTCCCGCTCCTAAGAGCTTAAAATGTGTTCATGAATAATTTGATAGTGTGTGTGGGGCATCCATATAAGTTATATTAGTAAGACGCTCCGATTATTGCACAGTTATTTAGAATTTAGATTTAATAATACTTTAAGAAAAAGGAATGTCGTGTTGCGATGGAAATGATGAAGAGGAACAAAGACCGCAACCAACTCGCGTACGGGGATGCACGGATATTTTCTGGATGTGTTTTTTTATAGCATTTTGGTTTCTTATGGTATAGTAATAATGTTTGTTTTTATACACTATTTCAAATTAATTATGACCAATGTCATGAGGTTATAATTTACCAATTTGAGATTTTAATTTATCGATTTTTTTAAAAAATCAAACTATTTTTAAAGCTGTAATGGATATTAACATAAATAACATAGAGTCATAAAAATATATTTACATTTACAATTTTATGTTCTATTATATATATATATATATATATATATATATATATATATATATATATATATATATATATATATATATGCTTCATATATTATTATAATTTATAGATTTTAATAGCAGCTTTTGCATTGGTATATGGTAATCCATTACGTCTCATAAATGGATATGATAGCTTTGGTAATACATGCGGTATGAAAAATAATCCAAAATTTGGGAGCATGGAGCTTTTTGGACAAGATACTAGTGATAAACCGTTAGTTTATATGATCATATTTTTTTCATTGGTGTTTACTAATATTATTTTTTAATTAATTTTGATTATACTTTTTACAGATATTTATTTTTCCTTGACGTAAAAAATGTATCACAGTCTTTAAAAATTTGTGTCAAAAAATGTCCTGATAGAACTATGATAACTATGGACGATATATGTCAATTTTATAAAGAAACAGGTTCTCAGTTATGCCATGATAAACCAGGAAATGATTTTAGTGCTTGTAGTACTGGAATTAATAAGCACAATAAGACAGGATCTTGTCCTGAACTACCTGTTTACAATAGCATTCCAATACTTAATCGTTGCATTCCGAAGGCTGTTCAAGATGTAGGGGAAACAATTATTTCTAACTTATATGGTCTCATTAATTCATGGGATGTGATTGAACAAATATTAGGTGATCTATATAAAACTTGGAGAGAAATCTTAGCATTATCCTTTTTAGCTTTTGGTAAGTACATTACATTTTGCTCCACGATTACATAATTTAATATGTTTTAAAATTAATACAGAAATATTGTCTAGTACTGTCCCTTTTCATGATTGCCATCTTTCATTTGTTGGCAAGTATTGTAACTTGGATAGTAATGATCCTTGTCAGCATTGCATCAGTAGGTGAGTAAAATAAATATTTTACTATAAATTAATAATTATAGGTTAAATTACACATAAAATTGTTATACAGCTGGAACAGGATTATTATGGTGGACATATATAGGAATAAAAAGAACATTAGATAAAACAGATCCAAATCAACTTTTAGAAGAATCAGTTAGAAATGAAAGAGCTTTTTTAATATTTTCTATTATCGCAACAATAATAACAGTAAGTATAATTTATTTATTCTTCTTATCACATATACTTAATTAATACAAATAAATTAATTTAACAATATTTGTATTTTGTAGATTATACTGTTGTTACTTGTTTTTGTTTTACGTAAACGTATTAGTTTTATGACAGCATTATTTAGGGAAAGTGCAAAATGTTTAGGAGAACTACCTGGTTTATTTTTCCAACCATTATTAACCTTTACTGCTTTAATTCTATTCTTTGCTTTTTGGGTTACAGTCATCTTATGTCTTGCTACAGCTAGTAAGTATACTTATTCCCTGTTGTGACAAAAAATGTTTCTTAACATTTACCTTTAACTTGTTTTAAATTGAATAAAAATTAATTTCAGATTATCCAGGAACAAAATCAGTTCAAATGTATAAAAATCATATATTTGATCCTCTGAATTTAAGTTCTCTTGGAGAAAAAAATATTTTTATACAAGAAGAAAAACTAAGCATTTCTATACATAAATTTAAAAGTAATGTATTTCCAATTGTTTATACTATAATTATAACAAGTGATAAATACGATTTTTTCTTTAACCTATGAATATGTTTTAGCATTTACGCTCGTTGAATACGTTGATGCAACTTGGGTAAAATATATGTGGTGGGTTTATATAATAGGTTTGATATGGACATCAGAATTTATAATTGCTTGTCAAGATATGGTAATAGCTGGTGCAGTTGCACATTGGTATTTCAGGTAATGTTTATTGCAATTAAATAAAAGCATATATATATGTATATATAATTAATATATATATATATATATATATATATATATATATATATATATTATATATATATATATATAATTAATGTATATAATTTAGATGTAATAATATATTTCAGAGATAAGGATGCAAGCTTATCACCAGTATGTTCAGCTATTGGAAACTTGATTAGTTATCATTTGGGTTCGGTTGCTTGTGGATCATTCTTAATAACTCTTTTTAAATTACCTCGTCTTATTTTGACATATTTGCACAAGAAGTAAGTAAAAAATTAATTAAATTTATTGCAAAACCATTCATATTAATTAAGTCTTAATTTCACTATAGATTTGAGAAAAACAAAGAAACTTCTCCATGTGCACAATGTGGTCTGAAGTGTTGTATTTGTTGTTTTTATTGTTTAGAAAAGTTTATCAGGTATATGAACCATAATGCATATACAGTTGTTGCCATTGAAGGAACAAATTTTTGCAATGCTGCTAGAATTGTAAGTCCAATATTACTGTCATTATTGGAAATATATATTGATTACCTTTTAAAAATATAAATTTGTTATAGGCTTTCAAAACAATTGTTGATAATGCTCTACAAGTAGCTGTAATTAATGGTATAGGAGATTTTATATTATTCTTAGGAAAATGTTTTGTCACAGCTGCTACAGGAAGTGTTGGATTACTCTTCATGAGGCATGATCCACGATTGCATTTTTATGCGGCACCAATTTTTATTACTTGTATTTTTGCATTTTTTATTGCACATTGCATTATTTCATTATACGAGGTATATATAAATTTTTACTACTTGTTATAAATAATGTATTGTTTTATCAGCCATAATCTTATTCGATATTTTTTTTTTTTATTTTCAGACTGTTATAGATACTTTATTTTTATGTATATGTGAAGATAGAAATTTAGGTGGAGAAAATGGAAAATGGCGTCAGTCTCCATTAGCACACATTGGATCAGATGTTAATACAAATGGTCAGCAATCTCATGAATTATCACCAATGAATACATAAACACACATTTGAATATTAGTATTAATTTATATTGCAATTCTTCCATAGCTTATTCAAATGTCTTTCAGATATATTTTTTCTATTATCATTTTTGTAACAATATATAGTTATTCATTTCAGTATTTTTTTTATTTTATGAAAACTACATATTGTTTATAGTGATAACTTCAATTACAAATATGCCTTATGCAATATAGATTAATAATAGAATTTTAAATAATATATTAGATATATAATTTTTAAATAATATGAATGTAAAGTAAAATTTATGATTTATATAAATCAGAATCAATCAAGAGAAATATTTTTGAGATGCATTATATGCCTAATATGAGATTTTTTATCTATACAACGACACTATAGTTATACATGATGTTATATAGATAGCAGATTTTTATAAGATAGGTATACAACTTTTAGTTTGCAGACAGTTTTATTAATATAAAATGAGGCTTTAGATTTGTGACTAATATGAACTTCATAAGGAATATGCATTTATAAAGATTATATATATTAGAATGAGATTTTTTTTTTAAATTTATTTTTATGGTAAAATTAATCTATGTTTTAAAGAGATATATTATGTACCTATAATGCTTATATGGCTGCTAAAATATGATTTACATAAGTGCCATTAAATTTATACAAAAAGAATTGTAATTATTGTCAGTAACGTTGGAATCGAACTTAATGATATATTTAATATGAATTTATGTATAAATTTATACCTTTTATGCAAGGTGTATCATGTAATTCATATATATTTTATCTTTAGTTAGTAGTATCTTGAACTATTAGTTCCTTACAAACTATAAATATTAAATATATCTTTAACGCACATTTAATTGCAATGTTACTAGCATATATACGAATTAACTATATCTAAGTATACAGAATGTTATACGTTATACATATTTTCTATTACACTATCATTTGTATCTAAGATAACTTGTGACATTTTGATGTCTTTCTAAGTATTATTTTTAATTAAGACTTTTATATTAAGACTTTTACATTTGCATTTAATAATTTAATTATTGCTGAGAAGTGTACTTATTATGCTACCTGCTATAAATTTATTAACATGCACCAAAATCATATGATAATATAAGGTACAAATATATAACAACTGTAAAAAATTTTAAGAACAATATATGTGAATTTTATTATTATGTAACAAAGATATAATCACACAAGTATAAAATGTTTAATCAGTGTTTGATATTTTTTTTTACTTTCTTGTTTGTAAGTCTTTTCTTTTTGACTTTTTTATTTAATGGTTTATTTAATTGTTTACTTGGAGACTTATTTCTTTTTCTCATTATAATCCTTTTTGGACTTTCCATTTTTTCTATTTCTTCTTCTTCTTTATCCTTACTTTGTAATTCTAAAGCCTTTTCAATTGGATCACCTTTAAATATTTCATCCACAGGATTTAAAGCATAACTTTCTTTTGGTTTATTAGCTTGCTGTACCATCTTTTGCTCCAATCTATTCACATATTTACCAGCAGCTTTCTTATTTAATAATTGTCGATACTATAATTATAAAATAAATAGATTAATTTATTTTATTATATAATTATTATTAATTTATTATTAAGATTAATTTATTATTAATTTGATTTTATTCTATTTAACATTATTAATATTACCTTAGCAGGTGAAACATAAAGAGGATTATCCCATAATGTTTCTCCACCAAAACTATTAACAAATATTTTAACTGGATTTAAAACAAATCTAGGTCCAATTTCTGCTAATCCTCCATCTTCAGTGAGAATTTGAAAGTTTCTAAACCATATTCTATTATCTAATACAGTAAATGTGTAAACATGATCAAAGAATGGTTGACTTTTCGGATGATGATATGGAACACCAAATATTTGAATGAATAACTCTTTCAAAAGATTGTAATGTGGTTTTGTATTGAAATTTTCATCAAATGAAAGTAACGGGCGAGATCCTCTTAAACAATTTCCTGTCATCTTTAATTCGCCCATGGTATAAACTATAATAAAAATAATTTAAAAGATAACTTTAAATACATCTATAATATAAATGGATACTTTTCACATTGCAGTAATATATTACATACTATTTTCAACTAAAAATTTAGCACAAGGTCCTGCAGATATATTAGAAAACCAAACGTAAAGATCCCTTTTTCTTCGACCTTCAAAAAGTATACATTTATTGCAATTCTTCATTTGACACATTTCATTAACAACCTGCAAATCTTTGGAACGTTCCATTTTACTTTCAGGTCGATGATGTGGCATAAGAGTCTTTATATCTTCCATAAGATGACGATGAATATGACCAATACCCCTGGTTGAAAACACTAATATACGCTGCTTGTTTATCCATTTTATCTAACAATTAATACATTTAAAAGATTTACTTATAACTTTTCCTTAAATATAATTTCTCATTTCAATTATTGCGGTATATATAATTTCCAATAATGAGGTTATTTACTAACCTTTTTCGGTGGAGGTTCGTCTGACATTCTTTTTATCGGTGGTAAATTTGTTTCTGTTGTTTCTGTAGTTTCTTCATTTTCTAATTGTTTCCTCTTCTTTGTCATTATTTACAAAAAGTTAATAATACTGTAAAAGAAAAACCTAATTGTGATAGACGACGGGACAAAAAACGAAACGAACGCGATTGTTGCACGTTACTACATGTGTTTCCGGCAGAACACGAGACATGGCGTATTTCTTACGCATGCTCTTTAGTTAAAATAAAATCAATGATAAAAATGTTTAAATTGAATCGATTATATACATATATTGCTTTAAAAATAGTATAATCATAAAATAGAATGTTTTGAACTTTCATCGTTTTATTCATGCGAAAGGACTTGTTTCATGTTCATACAATGAAAGTACAAATCAAGCGTGAAATCCAATGATGAACACTCATAAACAGTCATAACTGTATCCAGTCTTACGAAAAACGCACCGCGCTTAAAATTACAAACCTTTATTTTATTATCACACGTGTTTAATAATACGTGTATATTGTATATGTAAGTAATACGTCGATTAATTTTAATATTTGTTAGTTCGTTATCGTTATCACTTTATATATATATATATATATATAGCTGGGTATAAAATATATGATAAGAAAGGATATTCACATTAAACGGTAACGTCATCATTACAGACTAATAACAAATTGTGGAATAATGTCGTGAACTTTGCTTATTATAAATACATTTTTTCGCTAATGAATCGATTTATAAACAATTCATGATTCAATAGTTGCTTTATATATATATATATGAATGTATATATATATATATATATATATATGAATATATATATATATGAATGAGTATATATATATATATGAATGTGTATATATATATATATATACATATATATATACATATATATATGAATGTATATATATACATATATATATTTACATATATATATGAATATAAACATGTATATATATATACATGTAATACATATATATATATATGCATATCACATGATCAACATATTTTGTATAAAGTATACATGTTGGATATATATATATAAGTATGAATTATACAGCAACTATTGTAGTCTTATTATAATTTTGCATCGTGTAATTCACACACTTAAAAATACATAAACCTATTTCGTGCATATATATAAACAATTATACAAATTATATAAAATCAAATAATAGAATATTTTTGTATTTCTTTATATTGTATTAATGTTACTAATATACTTAATTAAGTACAAAATATTTTATAAAGGAAATATATAAGTAGTATTCCAATAAAGCAACATATAAATATTACTTTCACATTAACATTTTTTTAATTTCTTCTTTATATTTATCATTTATTCCTAACAACCATAATATTTATAAATTAAAAATTAGTTGTATAAGTATTTAAAAAAAAACTTATTACAAAAACTAAGTATATCAATATATACATATATATATATATATATATATATATATATATATATATATATATATATATATATATCTAGATACATAATTATATATAAATAATAATATTTTAAAAAGTAAATGGAATAATATGGATTCACTGTTTAATCATCTCAAATATCACATAATACTTAAAGATTACAAGCGATCATTATTTTGTTACTATAGACATTATATTCTCTATATCTATTTAATGCAAATCAATCAAAACTTCAAGTATTTATATAAAGCACCTAATTCCTATTATAATAGATATATTTTGAAACATATTTATAAGTAAAAATATTGTCCTGCCTCACATGAAACAATGAAAAGCAATGAAACAAATCTGTTATTCTTTACTTGATATTCCATGTTTGAGAAAATTTGCAATAGTAAGAAACTAATATGAATCGACTATTATGCATTAAGAGTATATTTAATTTATTACATATCTTCGTTGATCTTGGTAATTCATGCACTGCAAAATATGTCCAACCTTATTTATATCTATCATAAAAACAATGATATATGAAGATGTAAATGGTTACTTAATATAAAGATTATATATTCTTTTTGCATTTAGCAAATGATTTAAATGATAATACAATAAAAAAATGTGACTAGTTGTCTATTTAAAAAGTTTTTGAATGCTTAGTTCATAAAAAAAATGTTTTTACATATATAAATGCTTTATTATAACAGTTAATTTTAATCACAATGTTGTGAGACTGTATTAAATTTTTAAATATTATTAAAAATTATAACAGAGTAAATGATTGAAAAAAAACTGTGTGCTAAGAAGACATACAAATGTATTATCTAATACATTCCAGCGCATTATCTTTGCTTGAAAATTATTTTCGCGTTTTTGTAAACGAATATCTTTATTTTTAATTAATACAAGAAAATAATATACTATAGAATTGTGCTTTCCATTTATACAGTCAATAATTCTTTGCTAATATAAATTCGATCAGAATTTCAGCAGTACTTGGTGTTCAATTAAAAATCTATCTAAACTATCTATGGTAAATAATACAAATATTTTTGTTCCCTTTCTGAAAAAAGTTAGATGAAAATGCTAAATCTATTCATTTTTTATTAATAGTAAAGTCCGGATATAGAACACATATTTGCACATGAACTGCCTTCGAAGTTCTGACATATAAAAATGCTATATTGTACATTCACTTTCATAATACTGTGAATGGATTTCATCTTAATTCTAGATGGAGTATTAGGATTTTTCTGCGATGGCATTATGCATGGATTTATTTTTTGAACAGAAAATAGTTTAAATTTGGAAAAGGATTGAAATTTCTATTATTTAAAACTTAAATGTTAAATTTGTTCATTGGAATGCTGTGTCGATAACATTTCGGTTTCAACATAGGGACGTCAATTTTATGATTATGTTAAAATTAATAAAAATGATTATTAAGATATTATGATAAATAGCATAGAAAATTGATAAAATATATTAATTTGTGGGCGATCAATTATTGAACAAATTGAAATTTTATATATTTTAATTTTAATGGTTTCTATGAAAATAAAAACATTTAAAATAGCAAAATTCTACATATCATATGCAATTCCAATTAGAATAAAGGAAACCATTATTTGTTAACATATTTTATAAAAATCGTATTGCTAGTTAAATTTAATTTTCTAACATTTTCATTAATTCTTTAAAATATTTTTAGTCTATGTTCAACCTAAAAAGTACACATTAACATATAACTTTTTGAAAACGAAATTAAATTATCATACTGAAGGCAAATAATATAAAGTTAAAATATGAAATAAATATAATTGGTAAATACATATTTTTGATTGTTTAAAAGAAGAACATGATTATGCATTCAAACTAAAAAGCCAATCCAAATTAAACCAAAAATTTAGTTGCTTAGCAACTTTAATCATGCAGAAAAATAATTATCTAATTAAACCTAAACTTTTCCTAGAGCTTCAGTTGCTTCTCCATTGGCAGTAATTTTACATCTTTTTAAAGGATGATTGTACATGGTTTGCAGTGGAACATGAAGGAGTTCCATAATTTGTATGAAATTAGGCTCTGCAACAGTAATATTAGTATATTTGAAAAGATATCACTAGTTTTCTTTTTTCTTAATTCTATCATTAAAATCTTACCATTCTCTGCAGTGATGTATCCATGTCTAATTAAAAAGTCAAGTACAACTGGTACTGATGTAGTTTTAAAATTTGTAGAAGCTATCCTTTCTAAACATTCATTTACTGGAAGCAATTCAAAAGTCTCTACTTCTCCATCACTGTTACTTGGGACAAAATCTGGTGGTAATTCAAGATCAAAAACAAATTCTGTATTGGGAAACAATCCTCTTTCACTTTCGAAGAATAATGAAACACATCCAACACTTTTTAATTTTTCAATAAGATTATTAGGGATACTGGCTTCTTCTCCGGCTTCTTTTATAGCAGTTTCATTAATACCAAAACCAACACTTAATCCACCACTGACCATATTATCCCAATATCCTGGCCATGTTTGCTTATTAGGACTACGCTTTTGTAACCATATTGACAATCCTTTTATAGGATCCATAACATATCCATTTATATCAACACCATATTTACGAATTCCAAATAGACCTGTATATATTAAAAATAAGATCAAAGTAGAATATCTTATTTTATATTATAAATTAATATACTTACATGTTGCAGATCGATCCATTTTAAATAAAGGTTGTGTATTAAACTGAGCACGAACTTCATAATATTCTTCTCTCCAACCATGTAATGTAATAAACTTTTCATCTGCCTTCCACTTTCGTAATACTTCTTCCACACGAGCACTTCTTTCTGCATAATCCCGAAATGCAGGATTTAATTGTACATATTCCGGATGTACTTGAAATACCTTAAATTTATAAAAATATTAATATTGAGAATAAAATATCTCCTTCTATATATAATAGCAAAGGGCAAAATTATTTACTTGTGGATGATTTAATAACTCTTTCATTACATCTGGCCTTACAAGACCTACTTGCTGTCCATCAACGACAAAGGCTCTGCATTCACCTGCATGGAACCCTAAACAGTTTTGATTATATTTAATAAAAATCTTATATATTTTTATAAGTACACCATAAAAATTAATATTTGAAGTGTTTTTTGTTTAAATATATTTCAAAAGCTGAAAAATAACTGCATGGACTATCAATAAACTATATTTCAAGTCACTGAACCTCAAGATATTATTACAAAAATAATTTAAATAGTATATCATATAATAATGGTATATACATACAATCCAAAGTAAAATCATAACATTATAGATAGTAACATCTTTATATAACATATTTTAAAGCGTTATTTCTAAATTTATTGATGTAACCTTATACCAGTAAATATTTATAATAAAAAATTAACAATATACAATATAATATTAATAACAGATTTAAAGTAGAAGAATGATAATGTTATTCAAAGTGCATGAAACTATAATAAATTAATCTTAAGATCATCCAGTATATTTCTTTACTTGAACGAAAGTACAAAGATAAATACGCAACACTTGAAATCAATATCTTGGCGGACAGTATGAAAAACAGCGCGTCCTATATTATTACACATCTTAGAAGGCGATATTCGAACAAAAGAAAAAAATTATAGTTCAATTTGACTTACCTGACAGATAAAAGCAATTGACTTTATTTGCGAGTTTCAATAAACGTGACATTGGATCCGTATGATTATCCGTCATGATGTTTCGACCTCGTCAGCCAGCTGTGATAAAAAATCCTGCCATCGAACATAAGATACGTCAGATATGTGTTAGATTGGCTTTCTGCGCATCCTGCATACTCATTTTAAAATTAAACGTTTCTTCTGATTGGTGAAACGGTTTCTATGCATCCATTCTACGCCAATACGACGAAGGATATGTTCAGATTCAACTTGCTAAGTAACTAGTTACTTTGAATCTTTTTTATTTTATTTTTTTATCTCCAAAGTGAATTCACTTCGACAAATAAAACTAATTCTAGTCAGTAAAATATGAGATTCATAACTCTTTAAATTCTTGACATTATTATATAGGTTATCAGTTTTTTATCAAGACTGATATGAGAACTTATATAACATAAGTGAATCTTTCTCTAAAGATTTATAATATATCTATAAATAATAGATACATATATGTATATATATATATATATATATATATATATATATATATATATAACATGTAGTAATAATTATTAGAATAATTTACACAATCAAAGTAATAATTCACAAGCATAAAATGAATGTTACATTCATATTGCATTGTGATCCAGAGAATAGAAATAGTACATTTTTAAATTATGTATTCAGCATGTTACTACGTTTCAGTATTTTTCTTTCGCTTTTAAAACTCTTTTAAAAGCTAATAAATATTTAGTAAAAAGAAAAAATTTATTGTCTATTCTGTAGACTTTCTAATTGTTCCCACTAGAGAGCACCACCATTTTGATCAGAACAAAGCACATTAATGTAAAAACGCACATTGAATTTATATATTGTCAGTTTGAATTATTTTATAATTTCTGAAATAAAATAAGTTAAGTGTGAATTACAATGGCGATTACATCTGAATCTGATTCTGAAGTAAATTCTTCGGACGAGGAGGTAAGAATATCATATTTAACTTTTCTATCAGCAAAATCATTTTTGATAAACATAACCTTTCTTTTTCTTTTCACATGTATAGTTACAAGAAGCTCTTGCATCGGGCTTATTAAAACCTGGTCTCAATGCTATCATTGAAACAAACAAGAGAGAACACAAGAATAATGTTGTAAGTAAAAAGTTGATATTAAAAAAAATTGAGTTTCAGTCGTAATAAATATTTAACACAAACATACCAATTTTTAATGCAAATTTGAAATGTTTAGATTGTAATGAAAAAGAAATTAGAAGAAATAAAATTAAATTTGCCCTGGATAGAGAGGTTGGATATGGTCAATGCTTTAGCACCACTAGCTCCAGAGTTAGCGCTTCAAATGCAAGAACAAGAAGTAAGACGTGCCAAACAATTACAAGGAAATAAAAAATTACCTCAATTTGATCCGTCGGAAGATCCTGTTTTAAATGACTTTCGTAGAGAAACAATGTTTCATCGGCAAGCACAAGGTGCTGTTGTTGATGCCATAGCAAGAATAAAGAAACTTGGTATCCCAACTATTAGACCAGATGATTATTTTGCAGAAATGGCTAAAACTGATAAGCATATGCAAAAAATTAGAGAAAATCTGATGAAAAAGAAAATTATCGCGCAAAGATCAGAGAAAGTAAGACAGATGAGACAGCAGAGGAAAATAAGCAAACAGATGCAAGTAGAAGCAACTTTGAAGAAACATGCGGAAAAAAGAAAAATGTTAGAAGAAGTAAAAAAATATCGTAAAGGTATAAGACAAGATTTGGACTTTTTAGAAGATAAGAAAAAACCACAATATAAGTCAGGTAATAGAAAGTTAGATCCAAAGGTTCAAGCTAAGATTAACATGAAAAATGCTAAATATGGTTATGGTGGTAAAAAGCGTGATAGTAAGAGGAATACCAAATCTAGTTCAGCGGATGTTTCTGAATACCGAAAACCACAAAAACCAGGTCAGGGACGTAAGGGTAAAGGTGGAAAGACAAAACAGCAAAGGCCTGGTAAAAATCGTAGAATACAGATGAAAGCTAGGAAAAAATAAAATTGTTTAAATCTTAATTCTTATTTTCAAGAATGATGATGTACGATACATAAAATAATAGAAAAAAAAAAAAAGAAAAATTATTATTTTTAATTATATATATATACATGATAATTAAACTCTTTGTACAAAATAAATAACCGTATTATAATCCTGAGCTATTTACTTTTGTGTCGATCGTTTGCAGTCATTCAATCGAATAAATATATTTCGTTTATCAATTATTACTGTTGCTATATTTAAGCGATTAATAGATGTGGATTTTAAACAATTTTTTGTTTTAAAAAATTGATAAGTTAGATTGCCTTTTTTTTATTAATCCAATAAAAATAAATGTTAATATTTGGATTAATTTTAACCAATCACATAACGCGAATGGCATTCTTTTAATAACCAATAGCGGCGTTGTAAGATTATTCAATTCTGGCGCGAAAAAGAAATTTTATGAATACGCAGTTTAGCAACGATATCCGTGTAGTCGTGTTCGAGTATTTTGTCATTATCGTAATATTTTATATTACTTAATGCTCTGTCGTTTCAGACTGTTTAATTTAGATATTATCGTGAAATAATTTCATCGTAGGAATGTGGAAATGCATGAATTAAGATGAATAAGTCGCTAATTATATTTTTATCGTCAGAGAGGCTTCAACTTCGGTTCGATCGTCAATCAATAAAATCGATAATAAGTTCATTTCAAGGATATTGGAATAACGTATTGTGTTCGTAAGTCGATTCGCCGTATGCAACGGATTAGAAACAAGACGTTTCTATTATATTAATAGACATTTTATAGAGGAGAAAATATTCCAATTAATTACACGAACAACTACCAGATAGAAGTTCAATTAAAAAAAAGTATGATAGTGATAACTTCGTTAATGTTCGAATAGTTAATCTTGAATAGTAAAAAATGTTCTAAATGAAAAATTTATTAAGGAATGAATAGAGATCATTCAGGATTTATTAGTTGGCCTGCACGTTCTCCAAATTGATTTTCATTGGATTTTTATTTGTGGGATTACTTGAAAAAAAATTTTAAAGCGTGCATTCAAACTAAAGTTTTCTGAGTTCTGTGAGTACGTTTTCTATAACCATGATAAGCTGCTTCATATTATCGGGGTACATAAGTATAAATCGAGAATTATAACTCGAATATGAAATTAAATTGAAAACATATCATTTGTGCGAATCTTTTTTTTTTTTTTATCTTTTTGTATCTCCTGTCTACCAATGAACTAATTCTGATATGTTATGTAACATTATTTACATAATTCATAACGGTCAATTTTCGAAGATGTTCGTCAGACTGTTTGCAAATATGGCGGATTTCGTGAATCGCAATAAAAACGTTCGACGTTTGACGCTATTGTAAGTGCAACGATAGAAACGCGTTCGCAAAATTTAATCTATCTACAGTTCTTATATATACAAGTGTTGGAAAATGTTAAAACCTTTTTGTGTAATACATCGATGTGGTAAATCGATCGAGTAAAGACTCGAGAAGATAGTAACGTCGCCATCGTTGAAGTAAAAAGTGACCGGAAGAGGAAATTTCTACCGCAATTATTACCACCGGTGAATACCGCAATACCGCTAGAGCTATTAAGCTAAAATAGCATCGAATTATTGAAATTTCCAAAATTTCCAACCGAATTTGTGCTACGTGTCTTCCGGCTATTTGATTGAGTTCAAAATTTCGTTAACATACGTACATTATTTTTATTACTATTATTATTATTATTGTTATTATTATATTATTTATTTTTATTAAGTGAAATATTCTACAGTGTGAACGTTCGAGATAAAAAGAAAAGGAAGAATAAATAAGGATTGCGCTAACTCTCGTCTGAGACAATTTACGTAAGTACACAGATATCAGATATATATATATATATATATATATATATATATATATATATATATATATATAATGCGAAAGCAAAATTCTTTTTGTATATTACTACGAGTATATTACTACGTGATATAAAGTTTGTATATTACTTTTTATATATTACTACATGATATAAAGTTTGCGTCACATTTGCGAAAAGTTTTTCTAGCACGAGTTTGACTTCTCTTTCGTTTAATTCCACTGTAATTCAAGGATTTCAGTCGTTGTATAAAGGGGAAAAAAATATGCTTGCCTGTATAAAAAACCGAAATTGTCGATAGGGAATCTATAATATGCAAAATGTATATATACATATATATATATATATATATATACATACATATATACATACATATATATATATGGAATAGTACCATGTGATTGTTACGAGGATACATGGGTTTCGTATAGTACATCGAAACTCCACACTCAATCGGGCCGTACAGTAAAATTGTTCCTCTTCATCCATCCTCCTACCTAACCTCACTCACTCACTCTCTCTCTCTCTCTCTCTTCTCTCTCTTCTCTCTCTCTCTCTCTTCTCTCTCTCTCTCTCTCTCTCTCTCTCTCTCTCTCTCTCTCTCTCTCTCTCTCTTTCTCTCTCTCTCTCTCTCTCTCTCTCTCTCTCTCTCTCTCTCTCTCTCTCTCTCTCTCTTTCTCTCTCTCTCTCTCTCTCTCTATCTCTCATATTCTGCTCGATACGAGCTACTGCAATATTTTTTTGCAATAGCCCGAGGTTATTGTATTTAAATCCCAGAGTAGTCTCGCATTGTCCTACGTTCTGGTTGATGCGAGAACTCTGGGAATTCCATATGCCGAAAACAGCTGTTTTTGAGGCAAGTTCGCCCATGTTTTAACCTTTTCTTTTTTTTTCTTCTCCCTTTTTTCTCTCTCTCTCTCTCTTTCTCTCTTTTTTTTTTGTTTTTACATTTTTAGCAATTACACGTATGTCAAGATACCGGTGATTCGTTTGTAAGTAACATATATGTTTGCAAGTGTTCTTTTATATAACCTTTTTAATTTATTACGTGTTATCTTCTTGTACATAGAATTTCTATTTAAGTAAATCTATTTACAGGTGAACTTATAGGACAGTTTTTTTTCTTGCGATTTGTGTTTAAACGTGATATATTACAATTAATTGAAGGATACGCATTGGATGATTTTTTCTTTTTTCGTGAAACTTTTTACACGTTTTAAGATCACCCGAAGAAAAAAAAAGTATATATATATATATGTATATGTACGTACATACATACATATATATATATATATTTTTTTTTTCTTTTTGAAGAGAGAAAGATGATATAGACAATTTTCGTTTGTTCGTTAATTGCTGAAATTTGTATCGACGATTTTGGAAAGTCCACAGTTTCGAACTGTGCGTGTATCATGAGCAATGCGACTCGTGGAAATATGACACGTCGTCTAATCAATATCAATCTCGATTATCCAACTATACGAGGATATCGACTGATAGAACTATATATGATCTATAATGTTTTCCGTTGCTTCGATGACAATCTCGTATATGTTCTCACATTTACTCGATTATTACTTAAAATTGTTCCGCGAACAGTTTTAAAATTCAAATATTTTTAACGGCTAAAGCTTTTAAACCTTTCTTTATTAAAGCTGATTAAAATAATCGTCTAACTTTAAAAGTTCCTATCGTACTAAAGATAACTATAAGTTATTTGACAAAACTCAGAGTGCAAATAGAATATCTTGATATCTCCATAGCAATCAACGCTCTTTATTCTAACCTATATTTATTTATAATTTGTTTTTTATATTAATTTAATATTATTTAAATAAAAAATCAATAATTTAGAAGAATATAATAATGAAATATCAGATATTATATTCTGCGAACACATACACACAAAATGGAAGTTGCACGATTTCTTTACTTGGAAAAATTTTCTAATAAAAGTGTTCTATAAATATCGAACAGTAAGTCAATCTAGATGCTAACATATAAAAATGCTTATATCTCAGCAAAGATTGATCTTTTGATTTACATTTATATAGATTGTTTTTATTCAGTATGATCTCAATTCTATGTACCATATAAATGGAATGATCTTTTTTTAATATCTGTGTACATATATATAGTGATTTTATACATATAATGATTTGAAGAATTTTGAATTTTACCTGTAATGTTTCACCTTTCTTTTGTATCATCATCATTGTTATTATTATTATTATTATTATTATTATTATTATTATTATTATTATTATTATTATTATTATTATTGTTATTATTATTATTATTATTATTATTATTATTATTATTATTATTGTTATTGTTATTGTTATTGTTATTATTATTGCTTCATCGTTGCATTTACTCATCGAGCAAATTACTTTTCATTCGTATGGTAATAAAATTTGAAATAAAAAAAGAGTTGAGGAGTAAATATCAATTGATTTAAATATATTTACTATGTACTATATAAATTCTTATTTGAGATCGTCGGCGAACGATATGTTATTTTTGTATATAAAAAGAAATAAAATTTCTTTCAAGTTCTAAAAAATAATTTAACATACAAACAAATGTAAAAATTTTAAAAATTTAACAACAATAACAAAAAAAAAGAAAGAAAGAAAGAAAGAAAGAAAGAAAGAAACAGGCAAAAAGAAAACAAAAGATTAAAACGATGCGAATAAAAGAAAACGAAATATACGTGTATAAAATTACAATGCTAAAAATATGACTTCTGGTCTGTGTCGGGCGATTTTAACGTTAAACGGTGTACGGAATTAAATACATTCTGTGCCAAATTAATTAGAATAACATACGAGAAATAATATAACAAAGGTTAAAGCCGTTCATAAATAATATTCTCGATAATTATTAAATTTGTAAATAATAATCTAGAATTAATTAATTAATTAATTAATTAAAAACCTATGGCGTCTTATTAAAAACGAAAGAAAGAAAAGAATAGGCTCATTTTCATGAAGTATCGATTTTCACGAGGAATTACGTGCACTTTGAAAGGTTAGATAATGTAATCACTCTTTTTCCTTTTTCTCGTTTCCTCCCCTTTGTTATTTTTAACAACAATAACAATTGAATCGTAAGAACCCCTTTTCTGTTCCTCTTCTTTGCGTTCATCTCGAAATGATCTTTCGTAGAATCATAAAATGTAAACTCGAAGACTTTACGCAAAGGGGATGCACGCGTGTCTAGCTCGGGTTACAGAATATAATGCAGTTGCTTGCTAGACGAGATAGTTAGCCCTCCGGCTACTTCCGCGTGCTCCAGCTTCGCGTGTACCATAAAGCTCCTGGTAAATCGACCGTGAGCTTTTCCTTCTCTTTCTCTCCATTTTACCCTCTCTCTCTCTTTCTCTATTTCTCTCTTTGCGCATATACGTACGTGGAAAAAGAGAAAAGGAGAAAGAGAGACAACGAATAGAAAAGAGAAAGGGAATGGAAACCATTATTGAAATGCAGTAAATGACCGTGAGTTTCAATTGCCCCTCGACTGTGCCGTAGGAAAGAGGAAAGCGCGTTTCCAGTTTCCTTCTTCCTGCTTTCTCTCTTTCTCTATCTCTTTATCTCTCTCTCTCTCTTTCTCTCTCACCCTCCCTCTGCCTGTCTCTCTCTCTCTCTCTCTCTCTCTCTCTCTCTCTCTCTCTCTCTCTCTCTCTCTCTCTCTCTCTCAACCTCTCTCTGCCTGTCTCTCTTTCTCTCTCTCTCTCTCTGTCTTTCTGTCTCCTGCTCACTCCTTTTCCTGCTCTATCGGCCATCACATGGATGGGAGAAAATTACGAGAATTCGCGAATAATTCGCTCTCGAAGCATATGACAAAAAGAGAGGAAAGGAAGGGAGGATGGAAGTAGGGGGACATATAGTAGTAGTAAGTGCTTGGGATATCGACTGCTCGCTTTGTAATACTTATTCTTCTGATAAAATTCATTTGTGCAATTGTGCATTATCGATCCGACTTTAATGAGTATAAATATGAGTGTGATACTTTTGTGAATTCGAGTATAACTGATTAAAAAGAAAAAGAAAAGAAAAAAAAAGGAAAAATAAAAGAAAAACAAAAAAAAAATGGAAAAATAATTAGACTGTGTGAAGTGTCGTTTCGTTTTTGAACGTTGACGTGAACGCTCGCAATTGCCCCGTTGTACTTTAATTTCTACAAAATTTACGAGATTTTGTCACGATGTATCGGAGGATAAAAAAAAAACTTTTTCCCTTATCCCTGTCGTTCGTTTCGCCTTTTTTTGTCTTCTCTTTCATACGAAAAACTAAACAATCTCTCGAGGATACTTCTTTCACCACTTTTTCTTTGTTTATTCGTTTACGAACGAAATTGTTTTGTTCGAAGCGTCGAATTGTCGCATATGATCAGTCGAGTCTGATATATACTACGTGAATAAAAGTCTTGTGGCACGTAGGGAAAATAGATTTCTCTATGTGATAGAATATTTCACTGTAAGAGAAATAGAGAAAGATAGAACAGAGCAAAAAGGAATAGGGATGGGATGGGTGGAAGAGAGAAGGAAAGGTACCAAAATACAATCGTTTAACTTTAGGTAACGCAATCAGGGAGACAAATGCGATATATGTATACTATATCGCGTTTCTCATAGCTATAGGCAGAATTTCAATGGAGCACATGATATTCGGCGATTCGCAGACGTCGGTAACGAAATTGGACTGGCGTGTCACTGGCATACCAATAAGCGATACGCGGAAAACTCTCCAAGAGCGCTTTATTTTCTCTGAACATACGACGAGGCTCGATCTGTTCGCGAGCGTGTATTTATCAACGAACTTTTCCGACCGACTTTTCTCCTCTCATTTCTTTTCCGTTTTTTCTTCTTCCCTCTTCTCTCTTTCTCTCTCTCTCTCTTTCTCTCTCTCTCTCTCTCTCTCTCTCTCTCTCTCTCTCTCTATATATATATATATATATATATATATATATATATATAATATAACT